CGGAGACGTGAGACGATAAAGGGGTGATAAAGAGGCTGTCACTAACTAGCAGGGGATATTCGGAGTCACGAGAGTGACTGGAAAAAGTGAGTGGAAATACCATCTGCATGCTTGGTCAGTGTTTTTCAGTCATGTGGGTTTTCATTCCAACCAAACCAGCAGCTCACTTCACAGTTCATCAGGAGAGGAGGAGCTATGAATTCAAGTTACCATAGTTTGTTGTTTTTTTTTCTGGATTGAAAAGCTGAAAAGTTGAAAAGCTGCTGACCACTGTAAAATTTACAATACTCCATCAAGATGGTGTCTGGCCGGGCCGTCTGCTGTGATGACCCGACCTGAGAGTCTGAGACAGAGCAGCGGTGCTTTCGTCAGCGCCAGCCTATACGTCCCACCTCCCATTTCCTGGTTACACAGCTGACAGAAGCTCCAACATGACATGGATGTGACCTGATGGCTCGGACTGTGATATGTGTCACCCACTGGTTATAACTTGCAGAGTCTTGACAGACGAGCTCTACAGACCAGGCTTGTGCACCTCATGTCATTCGCTCCGGACACAATATCTCAGCGGCGTAATCCAGCAGAGGTTTTAAACTGGCAAACATATATGTCTTAAGGTTTTTTACCTCAACATTGCTTAGACATGGTTTCCTCTGAATACTATCCCTCTTTACTTTCCCACACTGCTGTCAGTTAACATATAAAAGAGAGCCAGCGAGAGAGAGCCTTTAATTACCAAATTAGATTCTTTACACAGGCCTTTATTCCCTCTGCAAGAGATTCATCTATTTGATTGCCATTAATTGACGCTCAACAAGGTTTAAGCAGTAAGATGGCCGGACTCTGGCTGTCTTTCATTGCGTAAATCTGGGAGAGAACAAGAGCAGGATTTCATTAAGCTCCACAATACACACGGGGTCCATAAAAGGCTCCAGCTTGTTGCTATGGAGCTTTGACTTGTATCAAGGAATACATAAGCAGAAATTGGATACTTATTGTGGATACGGAGCACGACCTGGCTCATCTCAGAAACGCAGCAGCGAGATGGCTTGTCTTACAGGAATATTTTTCCCCTTATATTCCAGATGGCTGGCCTGGTGGCATTTTAAACCCTCCATACACTGGTCGTGTGTAAGCTGCACATTTTTTATCCTGAGTCGACGTGTGTGTTTGGAGTTTCCTGCTGAGGTGTTGCGACATAATCTACACTTAATTCATTATTCTACACAATGAGGTTATTTGCAGGTTTCATTGAAATGCAGAAATAGATATACTGACAGTGTTGGTTATATTTGCCTGGGATTTGATACAGTTTCACTTGGTACATTTATAAATACCAGAGTTATAATCAGAGCCCAACCAATACTGTTATATGATTCTAATTAGTTGTAAAAACAAATCTGACAATAATATATTCATGGATATTCATTTTAATTAATAAACACATAACATTTTTTAAGAATTGTGACTATACTATGTACTAAGGGGGACATGTCTGTGCTAATGGACCAACTATATTTTGGGGACACTCTCTTTTAAGTACTGCAATTTCTGTATTGCGATTTCTTGTTTCTTACCTACCGACATATATGCTAATACCTCTGTGTATTATACCAGCCAATCTGTCCGCTCTGACTTTAGTTGTAGTAATCTAGGATGTTTTAAAGACTGGATTTTATTTCTAAAAAGCTTTAAAGTTTTGGACCCAAAAGTCTTAACTAATGTGGACATTTTGGGCTCGATTATTAACTCTCTTAAAAGGGTTAAGGAGAGTTAGATGTAGATGGTAAGATTGATAGCTGTCTGTACGCTAAACATGAATCTACTGCCAGTTTGCTTAGCTTAGCATAAAGACTGAGACTAGGGTAAACAGCTAGCCTGGCTCGAGATATAACGAGTAAGCATGTTATATTTTCTTTGTTTAGCCTGTCTATAACCAGACAGCAATAGAGAGAAACAGAACAATGCTCTCAGTGAAGAGCATAAATTGCCATTTTAACACTATAGGTTGTACGGTGTTAATTACTGAGCTTTAGAGGAGCTGGTAGACAAATTGCTTTACTTAGAGAGCCAGGCTAGCTGCGTCCAGTCTTTGTGCTAAGCTAACTGGTTGCTGGCTGTAGCTTCGTACTGAGTAGACAGAGTTGAGAGTGGTATTATACTATCAAATATACTTCATGCATATTTTAAAAAAAACCAGCTAAATAATCCTTTAAAAGCTATAATATAACTAGCAAATTCAAAATAAATTTGTGTTTATTACCATGAATATGAAGGAAATGACTAAACAACATACATTTATGGCATGTGCATGGGCTATATGCATGCAGATACAGATGTGCACACACACACACACACACACACACACACACACACACACACACACACACACACACGAGGCCATTCACATCCTGAGCCCCAGAGAGTCAGTAAAGCAGAAGAAAAGCTGCCAGCGGAACAGTTACTGCTTGCATCATACTGCTACACTCTTGTTAATACAATTTCCCCCTCTACTGTCTCGAGCTCAGTGTAGCAGAGACACTGTCTTACATATGCGCTCTGTGAAGCTGCTTCCCTCAGATAATATACCGAGGTCCTTTGGGACTCTCCGGAGACTCCAGGCAGACAAGATGTGCTTGTCTGATAAAAGAAAGTGATGTGTACAAGTGTAAACATTCAATATTATTCACTCGCTGCTCGCTCGCTGCTTTGCACTGCGTCTTATCTGGAACTCGCTGGCTGGGGGCTTTTCTCTCTATTTGTGAAGCCATCTGTAAAGCCTAATTTAATCGGAGTGGAAAGGCATTTCATATTTGATGCACGGACATGTGCCATGCAGACCAATCTGATTTTGGGGCGAAGGTGTGTCATGAATAACAGAAGAAGTCCGGCAGCTTCTTCTCTGGAGATATTTGTATTTTCAAGATGACACTGACTCAATTATTGAAGGTTTTTAAGTGACGGTTGTCAAACATGGTTACAGTCAGGCCTTTGAGTATGGACTCCACATGTTAACAGTATGGCACAGGGTTGTGCTCTCTTTGAAAAACAGGAAAGGCCTTATGAAATCCACTTCCTGTAAACCCGTTACCCAAGAAATAGAAAAAGGAGAAGGAGGTGATGATGAGACATTGTAATATGGAAACGTATCGCTGGAGAATTTGAAATCAGGTTAGATAGTGAGTGCTATCGATGCAGTTACTATACTATATGTGAAGTTGTGGACAAAATGACAAAAATAAATATCCAAAAACATAAACGGCTCCCATGCAAATAAAACCGACTCTCACCTAATCTAATAATTTAGCCTTTTCTATGATTCAAAGAATATTTTTCAAAGGTGCACTGTTCAAAACTGCCTTTATATGTACAGGAGTCCAGTGTTTTCAGCAGTCTTTGTTCATTTCAGAAGCTGGGCCCTTGTACTGGTGCAGACAACGCCTCACAACCACACAGTTGGTCTTGCAATGATCGCCTCTGTGTTGGCTGTGATATTCTGTTGTCTTTGTACCCCGCATGTCAATATCGATGCTGATGATACTCCGTTAATGTTCCATCATGCAAGCATCCTTTGCATTTAGCCCCATTACAGGTGTTATGATTTGCCTGTGACAGGTCATCATTATAACTACTGCAAATATCTGCATTTTTTGATAAAACATAGCTGCAACAATGCTAAACAATGTAGTTTTCAGTGTAACATGAATGCACTAAAAATGCACATTATCAGGTGAGGTAATTTGTTGTGGACAGTGATGTGGCAAAAAAAAGAAGAAAAAAACACCCCTTTCTGAAAACATCCCTTTCACCAGCACCCTTTTTTTGCTCCATCCTGTATAAACTACAGGAAGGCTAACTGGTGTAAGTCACAGATACTGCCCGTTGGCTAACTACGATATGTTGACACCTTCCCCTTCACTTCTGCGCCTGCCACTCTTCATAAAGAGAGTGCACCACCTCAGAAAGCCTTACTTAATACTGTGCCCCCCCCCCCCCAGTTTTCTCAGTTTCATTGGTGTTGTTGGGCAGCATTCAGCGCTAACTAATGCATAATTTGGATAAATCGTTTCTGGATGAAGCCTCATTAGCATCATTAGCAAGATTTAGATTTAGGATGCAGACGAGGCAGAACACACACAATCAGTAAATGACCTTGTTTATTAGAGGAGTTGCTTATTGATTGATTCAATTTTCTCAGGTCAAGGTGCACCCTCAGCTGTGCCTGTAATTAAGCTTACAGTGAATAAAAGCTAGCTGAGAAAGACCATGTCATAACACCATGATGAGTTTAGATACACAATTCACCCCAGCGGAAAACAGAATTCCCTCAATTTATTATGAAAGCTTCTACATTTGCAGTTTGGTCTTTCCCGGGAAGTAATTTGCTATATTGTTTGTTTTTGTTTGTTTTGTTTTATGTCAAACAAATTGAAGACAAACTTAGGTTATCCCAGACATGTCAGCTGATAATTAACAAGACATTGCAGGACAGAAATGCCAAATATATGTAGAGTTAATGACAACAAATTGACCATCTCCAAACAGAGAGGTGAGAAATCTAAATTGCATTTGTACTGCACCATCAAACTGACATCATACTTTAATAGTAGGAGAAAATATTATCTTTGCCTTTGTCTCCATGCTCTGATGAATTATCTCTTTCTAATTACGCACCCTTCCATTGTCCTTCTTCGACAGGAAATACATCGTACTAATGAAACAAGATGCCCTCATGGCGCCTGTAAACAGCAATTCATCTATGTTTTAGAGCTGTGGTCCTCCAGTGTGTCTCGCAGGTCCTCAGCTGCACGCCCTGGTTAGACTTCCAGAGTGAAAGCTATACTGTATCAGGAAGAACAGCAGCATGTGAGCCCATTCTGTGGCGTTAAAACCATACAGCTCTATGGAAATGAAAGTGAAATATAATAATGCATCATATCATTTGTGCATGTCGTGTTTATTTCTCCCTCTCTTGAACCCTCTCCGTCTTCCCAACACAGTTCCTGTGCCTGAAGAACATCAGGACGTTCCTGGCGGTGTGCAGCGACGTATTTGGCATGAAGAAAAGCGAGCTGTTCGAGGCCTTTGACCTTTTCGACGTCAGGGACTTTGGAAAGGTAAGGCAGGGTTTGCTCTGTGACACAGAATGAGGCAGATGCTTGGTTCTCTGTGACGACGACCAGGATCTGCCCTTGCTGTGTTTGCCAGCTGTCCCGAGAGACTGAACTGAATTTGCCGAATGTGTTTTTACGCCTACTCATGTCCTTGTGTGGAAGCTATGGAACGTAGTCAAAATTATTTATAAAAGGGAGAAAGCTCCTTTATCTTGGACTTGGGTTTTTAAATTAGAATGCAGGTCTTGGTGCATGAATTAACTGTCTTTTTGGAGGCCTTTATCCATTTTGGATAGTCTCTTTTTGTACTTCACCCTCACACTGTAACAGCAACTTTAATGGCCTTCAGTATCATTAGTAGATGTTCTTACTGGCATTGCTGGTGCTAATCAACACAGCCATGTTGCAGTCTTCCTCACACTCCTAAACTCCAAGCCAAAGCTGAAGTCAGCAGCATGACCTAGCAGTTTAATCGCTTCCTCTCATTAGAGTGAATACGCCTCAGCGCGCAGACTTTATGAGGGGTTACAAGTCTGGCCTCGGGTTCATTACTTTGACAGAACTCTGCTTGTAGTGCTGTGAAACTGTCTGCGGCTCTTTGACAGCCCTGCTGCTGCCCTCGTGAAGTCCACAGGAGGTTTACCTAGAAATCAGAGCGAGAGAGAGAGAGCACGCTGCCGGACGCTGGTGCACATGATGTTAGGCGTTTATGAGACGACAGGGTCGTGTATCCTAGTTTTAGATGTGTGCATGTGTGTCAGTGGGAGACGTATTGACTGACTAGTTGTCATCATCCTACATCTAATGATGATGCAATCTGTGAAGAAGGGGCATTTAGAACATCATGGGACGCTAAAGATACTCCAGTGACACCAGTAATAACATCAGTGATGTGTGGTATAATCAGCTGAGATGAAAACAATACACCGTATGTATTAAATCAGCCCCACAATAATGCAAATAGATATTATCATCATATCCATCATATTAGAAGTGAAACTCTGACTGTGATAGCCGATTTCTAATAAAAAGATAAATAGTGGTTTCTATTCATAGTATTGCAACTTAAGGGGAATTGACTCATAGGTGCTTTTTGATGAATGGAAAAATACAATTAACATGTGTCAATTGAACTTCCCCTTTCATGGCAAAAACAACAGGAAGCAACACTCTTCCAGAGAAACGTTTATTAAAAAGGTCGCAGCTTGTGAAATGAAGGCGTGTGAAATTGCCACAAAATTTGAGAGTGGCAAACCTTCGTTGAGTATGCGTCGATCTTGTCCTCCTATGACAGACCATTCAACTTATGTGTTAATTTATTAGCATCAACATAATTGGCAAACATCATCTGTGTGTTCTCAGTACAGCTGACTCTTGATCATTTTGGTGTTTGTGAACTGAAAACACAACAATGATCTGTTAATATTCTCTGAAAAATATTCTACTATGTTACTATGACGAACCTTTAACTGGTTATGAAAGCCTCAATTTCATACTGATGTAAACGAGACCATCAGCAACAAGATTGGCTGTTTCTATATTACTATTCTTAGTACTCGTCATCTTCAGTTTCCGTGCAAAAAAGGAGAAAAAAAAAGGAGCAGAGCTTCGCCTAGCTGCCTCGCCGGTCCACGCAACACCAACACCATATCTCTAGAGTCCCATGCCGTATTGCTGGGCCCGTTGGAGGGAAGGAAGGCACGGGAGAAGCAGAACCAGGACTGAGCGAGGCAGACTGTCAGACCCTGCAGCAGTAAAATGAGAGATTTTCTAAAGGGACTCTGGTGCTGGGAAACACTACCGCTTTCGAGCACATCGACCGCCATAATCAATACAAAATGAAAGTTCTTTGTCGAAGCTTTAATGAAGGCTTTGACTTAATGATATGTTAATACAGTCCCTCAGATGACCTCTTAACGATGTAATGTATGAAATAAAAAGCCACCTCAAGTAAAATGCACTGCAGAAAAATATAAAATATTTCTAAGAACAGATAATGGAAATGAGAAAGGCTTTAGACAGCACATATTTTTATCCCTCATCTTTGCTGGCGTGCCGAGCTGAATTAAGAAGCTGAGAAAATTAAGTCATCTATTCATTAAGTCGTCTATAATTAAAACACATTGGGACCGCTGGCAAGTTATTTTTTCCCCTCTTATAGGGAAATATTTTCAGAACAAATCTACAGAAGAACCAACAGTGGCTCAGTGAATTACTGCAGGATATTCAAATACAAATCTTCATTCTCACTCCTGAACTAAAAAAAAAATACTTTGTAGATTTGCTCATCCTTGTGACTTTGCATTCATGTGCTTTTCTTATCAAATTCAGCCCCTTCAAGCATTTTAAAGAAACAAACAGTTATGAAACGGTTGTTTATAAGCTAAAGCTGCTTCTGGAAAAGCCCATATATATCTATATATATATATAGATATATATAAAAACATATAGTTATTCACAGAAACCTGATGTGTGATCAATCTGAGGAACTTCACAATAGTTAAATCCAATCAACTCATTTTAAATGTTTTCTTTGCTGAGAGTTACATGACTGAATGCTACATATGAAGCCACTGTTTGACATGGGAGTTTTCTGCCAGACCATATTTTTCTACAGATTTAACAAATTATTTTTATATAATGTGTTCATTAGTGAACTTTTGAGGTGCTGGGAGGTAGATTTTGTCGAGGCATGCCAGGCAAGCTGATTCCCCTGGTTTCCAGTATGCTAAGCTACGCTAACTGGCTGCAGCTTTCTAATAATAGACATGATCTACGACAGTGGTATCATTGAGTTTTTCCCAAATGTTGATCTATTGCTTTAATATTTTACATATTCTTCTGTTGTTTAAGCACTTTGTTTTACTTCGAGTTCTGTGTAACAAATCTGTGTTGAGAATATGACATTCAAACTTTAAGATTGATTACTGCGCCCCCAAACAATAAATGCTCGATCCTTCTTTAGATATCTCTTATCATAACTTGACACTAAATGGCTCGATGTGCAATTGCTCTCTTTCTCCCTGACCAGTTTCAGATGAGGAGATAAACTCTTTTCAAGCACAGACTCATTTTCACTTTTTTGCGATACCTTCCTCATTTCCCTCAGTGATTTCAGTGCGCTCAAGCACAACACTTTGATGACTCTCTTGAGTGAATCCCACATTGCCTAGCATGAATTTAACATCTCTGAAATTAGACAGCAAGCAGGCCGCGTATTCCTCGCTTGGCTGGCTCTGCAGAGGCTAATGGAGTGAGGAGAGGAGGGGATGGGAGAAGCTGCCACTCACCTGTAGTTCCAGCTTTTTTTAATTATGTATTTAAAAAAAAGGAAGACTGCTACTGAATAAAACATCCATGTTGCCTGTTTATCTTACAGTTGGTGTGTATTGTTCTGCCTGCCGTTATACCGGACATGTTTTGAACTGAACTCACATGAGGCAACCTTAACCATACAGCCAGAAATTATTCTCGACTCTTCCACCTTCAAAGCTGGGAAGGAATCCAGCAGTAAAGGACGGGTCCCTGATGAGATTCGGGTCTTAGAAAACATGACCGGACTCAAAAGGAGACTGTGCGTTTGTATGTGTGAAAATACTGATACATCTGACAAACAGCTCAGAACACCAACCTTGTTGGTGTTCTGAGACTCGAACTGAGGCCGCACAACGCTGCAATGGTAGGGAAACTGACAAATACAGCAGGTCTGTCTGTAGCCCTTTCCCCTCAGTGCAGGAACATCTGGTTTGCACATCTGTCTTGTAGACACACGGAGGGTTGTGGGCTCTGTAGGGAGAACAGAAACTTGGTTGCACAGGGCATGCTTATACACTGATGTACACCTGGCAGAGAGCGGGAAAGAGATGGTGGTATTTAGAGAAGATATTGAGAGCTACGGTATCCTACAGGATAGAGGAGGAGGCATTTTGTGGCTGTATGATGAAGGAGATGAAACAGTGGATTTCACAATAAGCATACATAGTTTTACTCTACAAGACACAATATCTACATACAGTAAATAGACGTAACCTAAGTTACCCCTCTGATCTGTGTGAAAACATCATGTATCCTTGGTTGTGAAATGATTGAAAAATACGTGCTGCCGTCGTCATCTTCCCTGAGAGCGAATGACTAATTGTCTCACTTCTATTTTATTGCTAATTCCAGTCATCTCGTATCAGCTCCTTTCAAAAATAGAATCAAAGTGCTGACAGGAGCTTTCCAGTCACATGACGGACAGTCGCTTAGTACTTGGAAAAGTTAAGTGTCATGGACTGACCTGCTAAATAATGCAGTATACTTCAGCTATAGCGGTACACAGAAATCTTTGCAGCTGTGCTTGTCATTTGCTGATTTGGGAGTAGTGCTCGCTGACCACTGAACGTCTTCTTAAAGTGACACACTGAGAGAAGAATGTCCAGCTTGGTGAATGAGATTCCAAACAGTATGTAAGAGTATGATAACCAGTAAACACACAATGTAGTTAATACAATAGAGTAATCTCAGATAATTATGGATAATGTTTTATTTCATGCTCAAGTGACATATGCATGTAAAACAGCAATAGGGGCCCTCATTCATTACAGCAGAGTTCTTTTCAAGTCTCAAAATTGATGCATGCTCATGTTCTCGTGTTCTCAGCCTAACTCTCAGTAAGAAAGCAAATAAGCGTATTTCTTGCCAAACTATTAATTTGAAGAATTTCATATTGTCCTGTGAAATCGCATACTTTTTTGGTCATATTTCAGTTTTAAATGTAATATCAGATACTGAAATGTCTATAAAAAATATAATTAAAGACCCTACTTAAAATCTTAAAGACGGGCTGTGCACATCTGGATGATTGATGAGCACTGTGGGCTTCATGTGGGCTGACTCCTACATGGTGGAGTAACCTCAGATCATCTGCTGCGTTCCATTCTGTGTAGACTATGCAAATTTTGCTGCACCGCAACTTCCTTTAAATGGGCCAGGAGATGCCACACCTGCACGTGTTTAGCTAC